ATAACTGCTTTTCCAATAAAAAATAAATAAATTATAAAAAAGAGTTATAGTGCCTTCTTAAATAAACTAAGTGCAGTGCTCGATTTTAGAGTTCCAATGTAATTGTTATGTATTTAAAGGGACTCACTTAAAAAAAAAAACCTGTCAATTTCATTAAGGATGTTTAAAAGAGAGAGAAAGAGAAAGAGAGAGAGAGAAGCAAGAACATTTGGAAACATTTTTAAAGGATTCATTTAGCTTCTTGCTAATTAATCAGTCTGCTCTCTGAGAGCAAAGTGCTGTTTAATTACTGGGGAAAATTACTCTTCAAGAAAAGCCCCAAAGTGTCTATAGAAAAACCTGAGCTTTCCCCTGGTATCCAAAAAAAATCTGCTCAACATGAAAGAACAATTGTATTAACAAAGTGATTATTTCTGGTCACTAGATGTTAACTAGAATTAATCCCTACTAATTACATTAATTTACTTGAGAGAAAAATGGGAGGGAGGAAGAGGAAAATGAAGAAGGCGGGGGAAGAGAGAGGGAGAGAGAAAGATGGAGAAGGGGTGGCTATTTCATTCCCTCGAATGTTTACAATAGCAAGAGCTGTGCCTGACCAAAGCCAGGAGTCTGCACTTCAATCTGGGTCTCCTGCATGGGTGCCATGATTGAATCACTCAAGTCATCAACTGTTGCTTCCCAGGTACACATCAGCGGGAAGTTAGAATCATTGGAAGCTAAGTCAGAACTCAAAACCCAGGAACACAGGCATGGGATGTAGGCGTCCCAAGCAGTGTCTTCATTCATATCGCGCAAAATGTCCACCTCTTAGTCCTATATCACAGTTACTCCTTTAAAGGGAGTATTGATGCAGAGAACAGAAAAAGGACCAGGATGCTATCTCTGCACTGCCACCCAGGAGCAATTGCCAGACTAGTTCCTAAGAACCCTCTTCCCTGTTGTGAATGCTGTATTCAACATCCTAGGTAATTCTCCTAAAAATATTTTCGAGATGAAAATCTCCCATAAGATATCAAAGGATGCCAAATTTTACTTAACAAGCAAGAACGTCTGCATCTGGAAGCCAGCCTTCAGGCACCTCTTCAACTTCTAGGAATTCTGTAAGGGATTTGTTGTTTCTATGGCAACACTGCTTGCTGCATAAACTAAATTTGATGGCTGCTACAGGAATTTGCTTCTGTACTGTGTTTCTTATATCTCTGTTACCATATATCATACAGGGTTTCATGATCGTAAAGAGCTCTGACTTACAAAGGGGTTGTGTCCCAATAACCACATGGTCAGTAGAGGATATTGAAAGCTGAATGCATTGAATACCCTGACCTGCTGAGCATCCTAGCTCCCTGACACAGTGCACCTGTTGAGTTGGTTGCTTCCCCTGATAATTGAAAGGCTGGAGAGGGAGCTGCATCCATTATGAGACACGGTTGGTTGTACCACCTGTGGCTAGCCCGGGACAAGATCAAAGTCCAAAATTTGAAATACGGTTTCTTATTGGATGCATACATCTTTTGCACCATCATAAATTAAAAATAATCTTAAATGGAATCATCAAGTCATCATTAAGTCAGAGATGGTCTGTGTTATTATACTATAGGCACATTAGATATATAATACTTGCTGTAATTGTATTTTCTAACATTGTTCTCATCTCAACACGCATCTAACGGAAGAAACTCCCACATTTCTAATGCTTTCAAGATGACTATGTAAAGAAATGACTGTTTCCTGTTGAAATCTGCCAATTTCTGTGCAAGATGTTTTATTTCCCCAGTGGTAATGTGCTTCTATTGCAGGAAAATTGACTGAATTTGAAAGGAAAATGAGAACATCACAAAAATACAAGTAAGGATAGAAACAATACAGTGATTTTTAACCTAATGGTAGGTGCTCAAAGAGTGGCATGAATGTTCCTTTATCCGTTTTGATGATGAATGCAGGTCTTTTCAGTCCATTTTAATGGCCAAAGTGGGTTTGCTTCAAAAGATAATTAGAGACATGAAAAAAATGCTCTCCCATCTATGTGGTCCTGAGATCTTCATTGTTCTCATAGTCTTGACTGTTAAGATGTCTGTGGCTTAACTTTTATGAAAAATGAGTTTTTGGTAGATGGAGCTGAAAATTATTGCCAGGGAAGTAAAACATTTTATGTTCTTACTGTCCAGCTACACTTCTACTTCTTTTGACCTACAACCATAATCTTCCCATCGTCATGCACAAACATCACACAGTAGCTAATGAAAGGTTTAAATCCTTCTGATAGTAGTTAAAAAAAAATCTGACTACTGCCCTGAGGATTATCATCTACTAAAGCAAACATGAAAGAGACTTAAGACATAAAGTTTCATATGCAGATTTCCCTTCCTTAGATTTTCTATGTTTAAATGAGCGTTCTAAGGTGAACATTAAAGAATTTTTTTTCTTTGATGTACTAGAGAAAGTTTAACCATCATTATTTATAATTTACAAATTCTTCATTAGGTAAAGTGAAATATCCAAAGGTCAGGATGGCTGTATTTAAAAGCTTCCTCAAACTAAGTGATTAAATTTGGCAAGGATTCTCAACAGGGAATCTGGTAGATCAGACAATTCATGTGATAAAATGTGTTATCTTTTTAAATACAGAACTTCAAAGCTAGTGGGCCAGCTTTAGTATATCCTAACAGTTCAGCTGATAAAAAGCACATGGTTTACACATGTCTTCATCAAAGAACAGGAGGGTGGCTTTGTCTTTTACCATTCTAGGTAATCATGGCCAATGCCTGAGAATGTAAGATGGATGGTGTGACTTTGGGAAACTAATCGGGATCAATAAATTTCTTCCATCTTCCCAAAATATTCAAATTTCTACTGCTAGAGTACCTGGGAAGACTGATGGATAGGAACAACAGTATCAGTTTGGAAAGAGAATTCATCTCTAATCAAGGATCTACTAATCACCAATGACAGAACATTGGGCGACTTGGTCTCATTTGGACACTGGAGAGAATATGCAGAGTCTCTCTTCTAGGCCAGCCTCCTAAGCAATCCTGTCCTCTCTTTCTGATTGCCATTTACCAAAGGTCCTGAGAACCAAGCTCTACCTCTCATCACCCTTGCAGATGGGGTTGTCAGCTAGCCTAGTCTAGATAACAAGGTCCAGTTGAGTCTGTGATGGAACTAGAGGCCATTGAAGGGCTTTTACTATAATGAGTCTTGCATTTTGGGAAAGTCAATCTAGAGGTTTGGTGGGACTTATATGGTTGGGGTATGGATAGACATAAGGAGAAGGAAGGCAATCTTGATCTTTGAGATAATCTGCTGCAGATAATGGGGGTCAAAAACTGGAAGAGCAATAGTAGAGAGCAGGAAGCCCCTTTCCTGGGAAAGGCTGACGGCAAACCTTGCTCCGAGAGTAAAATCATGAGCATCTGTGTTTGATTGCACATGATGTGAGGGGCAGACCTGGGGGTTAGGGGGTGACTCCTGGGTCTACAGCTTTAGTCATTAGGTGTTTAACACTACAAATAACCGAGATTTAGAAATGTTGGACTTTGCTTGGTTGTATACAACCAATCCATGAAGCAAGACAATATCTGAACCTGATATATTTTGAAATTTGCAACTATCTGTCCAAAGGTGATATCTTAAATCACTGGAGTAGATGAGATTAACCATAAAGAAAATATAGAAGCATACCTTAGTGCATATGAAGACAGTGAGAGACAGACTGCTTTTCGGCCTTTTGGCTAAGATCAAGTGCATTGTGAGACAGTGATAAAATTTACATGATAGAAAATAAAAATGAGCCTACTTTCTGTGAGTGAGAGACTATTAAAGAACAATTTATAGTTACACCTTCATTATTTAACAAGATACATTTGAAAGGAGGTAGTACTTTTATTAAGAACTTGGAAGCTGGACAAGAAAATAAACTGCAAATAAAATTTGTAAAGCTAAAAGCTGAAATCAATCCAACTTTACATCAAAAATCACATATATCATGATCAAGTGGATTCATCCCATAGATGAAAGAGTAGCTCAATATTAAATCAATACAGCTCATAAATCATAGCAAAGACTATAGAACACACTCCACACGATCATCTCAACAGAGTCAGAAAATGTACTTGGTAATATTCTATATCCCATCATGATAAAAGCACTCTCAACCAATTAGACGCAGAAGAAGCCTACCTCACAATTATAAAGACTGCATATGAGAACAAACGCAGCACCATCCTGCTGAATAGGGAAAAGCTGAAAGCATTTTTCCCCTGCTAGGTACAAAATGAGGCTGTCCACTTTCACCATTCTCATTCAATATTATATTGAAAGTGCTAGCAAAAGCAGCTAAGGAAAAGAAAGAAGTAATGGTATCAAAATGGAAAAGGACAAAATCAAAACATCCTTGTCTGAAGGTTACATGACTGTTATATATGGAAAAATCTAAACACAACACCAAAAGTTATTAGAACTGATAAACCAATTTAGTAAAGTCACGGGATGCAAAAGTCACATACCAAAAAAAAAAAAAATCAGCATTTTTTTCAGATTGTTCACGAGGTTTTTATTTTCATTCAACTGTAGACAAACAGCAGAGTTAACACAGCAGGAAGCAACTCCACACCAACCTTCCTCAAGTGGATGAAGAGTGATCAACTGAACAGGCCTTGACTATGTCACATCCCTGACACACGTCACCAATGCCTGCTGCTCACTTAAGCACAGCCACGCCCAGCAACAGTGGAGGAGCAGAGCAGGTGCTGATGGCCGCGTGGCCTTGCTGGGCACATCCGAGACCCAACTCTCTGTCTCAGGACAGGCTGGGGTGCAGAATGCAGAATCAGGGACACTGTTCTCCATTACAGAACCAAAACATCCCCCATAACGGACTAGTCTAGTGACTAGTCTAGAATCACGATGGGTAGCCAGTAAGAAGAGACCCAGCACAGCTGGCTGACTGCTCAGGTTGGGGAGGAAGCAGGGAGAAGGGGCCTCGGGACACTCCGAGCTTCACCCTACTTCCCAGACATCTACTCATACAGCATGGGCACGGAGTCATCCCACTTGGCCTGGTAACGCAAGCTGGCACTGGCGTCCCCAGCTGGTACTTTTTGCAGAAGGATGCCACCTTAAACTTGCCACAGTGGTCTCCTGAGTGGTTGCTGAGAATGGGCTCATGTCACTTAAGCGGCCAATCCTGCTCTAAACCAGCCAGACGCAGAGGTGGAGGCCTGTGCCCTTAGGAGACCCAGAGCCCACATAACCCAAGAGGACGGCACCACTGCTGATGTCGTTGCCCTTCATGTTGACCACCAGAAAGTGGTGCCACTCCCTGTATTTGGGGTCCTTCCTGCTGGGCGCATCAGGGTCTGTCAGGACCAAGGTATACAGTTTTCCTGGATCAAACCCATCCCAGGCAATGTTGGTGGGTCTGTTCTTAACGTGGGTGGGCACCAGCACCTTGCCCAGCTCATCCACCACCACACCGCCATAGGTGACCTTCAGAGGGTGCTGTGGCCGCTCTCCCACCTCCTGCAGGCTCAAGGGCCGGGACTACTTGTTGAGATTTACCGGCATGGAGGGGCCAAGTGGCATGATTGGGCCAAGGAGGATGAGTGGTACAGGCCAGGCGAAGTGCAAAGCTCATTCAGCCTCCAAGCCATCTGGCCAAAAAATCAGCATTTTAAGCACCAATAATGATCTTTTTGAAAGAGAAATCAAGTAAGAAATCCCATTCATAATAGTTATAATAAAAATGTAAATATCAGGAATAAGCTTAACCAAGGAAGTGAAATATCTATACCATGAACATAACAAAATACTAATGAAAGAAATCAAGGACACAAAATATCCATACTACCTAAAAGCAATTTACAGATTCAATGCAGCCCATACTAAAACACGAGTGATGGGGCCAGCATGGCGCTTAACAAACTAATCCTCTGCGTACAACAAGGACACCCTGTATGGGTGCCAGTTCAATCCTGTGTGCTCTACTTGCCATCCAATTCCCTGCTAGTGGCCTGGGAAAGCAGTCCAGGACAGTCCCAGGCCTTTGGTCCCTGCACTCAGATAGGAGGCCTGGAAGAAGCTCCTGGCTCCTGGCTTCAGACAGGCCCAGATTTGACATTTGTGGTTATTGGGGAATAAACTAGCAGACAGAAAACTCTATTTTTCCCTCATTAACTGCAGCTTTTATACACACACACACACACACACACACACACACACACACACACACAGACATGTACATATATACACACATTTACCTTTATTGGAAAAGCAGGACAGATTTACAGAGAGAAGGAAAGACAGAGAGAAAGCATACCATGACTGCAATGGCCAGAGCTGAGATGATCTGAAGCCAGGAGCCAGGAGCCAGGAGCTTCTTCCAGGTCTCCCACATGGGTACAGGATCCCAAGGCTTTGGGCCACCCTCCACTGCTTTCCCAGGCCACAAGCAGGGAGTTGGACGGGAAGTCGAGCAGCCAGAATTCAAACCAGCACCCTTATGGGGTGCCAGCTACTTGCAAGATAAAGATAAAGCAATTGAACCATCACTCGTGGCCCCTAAAAGTGACTTTCAAGTAAAATCAATCTTTTAAAAAGTGTTATTGCCACTCTTTAAAAAATTAGAGAAACAATCTTAAAACTCACATGGGACCAGGTCCAGTGCTTTGGTGTATCAGGTAAAGTTGCCACCTGCAGCATCGGCATATGGAAGCTGGCTTAGTTCCAGCTCCTCAACTTCCAACCCAGATCTCCACTAATGAAGGCATCAGAGGTGATCCCAAGTGCTTCGATTCCTGAACCTGAGCAGGAGACCCAGAAGAAGCTCCTGGGTTCTGGGCTTCTGTTCCAGTGGCCATTTGGGGAGCGAAGCAGCAGATGGAAGATTTCTCTCTCTTTCTCTCTCCCACACCCCTTCTTTCCCTCTCTCTCTGACTTTCAAATAAGTATTCTTAAAAATTCTTGTAGAACCACAAAAAAAAAATCCTTATTAGTCAAAGTGATTGGAGGGGGGAGCAAATAGGCTAGAAGCATTACATGTGATTTCAAAGCATATCACAAAGCTGAAGTAATTAAAACACCATGGTACTAGTATAAAAACCAAAACATAAATCAAGAGAACCTTGAAATAAATCCACATCAATTGATTTTTGTCAAAGGTGCCAAGAACACTTGTTGGAGAAAGGATAGCCTTTTCAATACTGTTTGCACAACTGAGCAATCTTACACTAAAGAATGAAATTAGATCCCTAACTCTGACCATATTAAAACAATCAACTCAAGATGGATCAAAGACTCAAATGCAATATCCAAAACTAAGAAACTGATAGAAAAAAACACAAAGGGAACTCTTCAAGACACTGGTACAGGCAGTGATTTCTTAGACAACACCACAAAAGCAAAATTAAGCAAATGGGATTATGTCAAATGCAAAAGCTTCTATACAGCAAAGGAGACATATTATTTTTGCTTATTTATTTACAGTCAAGAGATATCCAGCATAACAGGATAAAAATGTTTACAAGCTTCTTATCTGACAGATAATTAATACCCAGAATATATCAGCAAGTCAAAAAGCAAACAAATAAAGCTCAAACACAATTCATTTTAAAATGGGCAAAGGACCTGTACAATATTCAAAAGAATGTCATTAGCCTTTAGGGAAATCCATATCAAAACCATAATGAGATGCCACTTCACTCAGAAGCTACTTCACTCATGTTAGAGTGGCTGTTACCCAAATGACTGAAAGTAACAAATGTTGATGAGACATGGAGCAGAGGGAATTTTCACACACTGATGGTGGGGATGTCATTGTTATAGCCACAATGGAAAACAGTATTGAAACTCTCTAACAAACTAGACCTAGAACTGCCATACGATCCAGCAACCTATACTGAGCACATGTCCATAAAGCGGGGCATCACTGCATCAAAGAGATCTTGCCTAGCCATGTTCATGTTCATGCTACTGTAGCACTGTTCAGAGTAATTAATATCATATCATCATATCATCAGATGAGTGGATAACGAAAATTTGATATATACACACAACGGAATGCTATTTGGCTTTAAAAAGAAAGGAATTCCCTCATTGGCAGCAAAGTGGGTAAAACTGGAGGACGTCATATTAAATGAAATAAACCAGACACAGAAAGACAAATACTGCATGTTTTCTTTCATACGTGGGAGCTAAAATAAATAATTAAACAAAAACCTCAACCTGAACACTACATGGTGATCTCCAGATGATGGAAGGGGAGGAAGGGAAAGAGAGAAAGAATTTTTTTTTAAAACTGGGGAGAGGAAGCTAAGAGTGATGCATTTTTGTGACAGATATTCTAAGATGATGTTTTCAAAATAGGGAGATTGGATTAATTATGACAAAGATTATCACACAAATACAGATGTTAATAATAGGGGAAGTTGGAGGGAGGATATATGTGACCTCTTCATCCTCTTCATGAGTTCTGTTTTGTAAATTTAAAACTATTTTGAAATGGTTTATTTTAGAAAAGTCTGAAATTGATCAATCAAAAATAAAATAAACCCAAAAGAACTAAATAAAAAGCACTATACTTCTTCATCAATAAAATAGACCATAGCTCAAGGAGGTAATTATGCATAAAAGACAAAAGTGTACAAGTATGGAATGAATAAAAACAATCACAGATTCAAAATCATCAGAAAACTCAAATAGACACAGGACTTCTGATAATAAAGGTGAAAACCTGCAGTAGACAAAAGATTCCCTTGTAAGTATTGAGTTTTCAAAAATTACAAAAAATGGAAAATAGATAATTAGTAACAGAAATGTTGGGATAGTTGATAAATGATTATATTAAAAGAAGTCAGAATCTGGTATTTTAGGTGTGCATTCCAGCTATCTTTAAAGAACATATAATCCCATCAAATTACTCCAATTCATAAAAATTAAGGTTAGAAACTTCCCTGGTCACATCATGAAATCAGCATAGCTTAAAAGCCACAATGGGGAATTAAGAAACATTATCAAGTAATCATACTGATTAATATAGATGAAAAAACTCCATAATTTCATGAAATAGAATTTATTAGATTATTAAGAGTCACTAAGCACACACTATTCTATAAATTCAAAGACAGTCAAGTATAGGGAAAATCATAGATAGTACATAAAAAGATTAGAGGTGCAAGTCACACTATCATATCAGTGTGTTGTAAAGGGTTTAGATAAATTTAGCAAATTCTTTTTATAAGATTTTATTTCTATTGGAAAGGCAGATTTACAGAGGAGAGAGAGACAGATGTTCCATTCACTGTTTCATCCCCCAAGTGGCCACAATAGCTGGAGCTGAGCCAATCTGAATCCAGGAGTCAGGATTTTCTTCCAAGCCCACCATATGGGTGCAGGGTCCTAAGCCTCTATTGCTTTCCCAGGCCACAAGCAGGGAGTCAGAATGCAAAGTGTAGCAGCCAGGACACAACCTGGTGCCCATATAGGATCCTGGCTCGTGCACGCAAGGATTTAGCCACTGAGCCATAGCCTTAGGTCTAGCAAACATTTCTTTTCTTCTCTCTCTCTCAATCTTGTTTAAGTGAAGTAACACAGTGTGGATTTTAGATCTTTTGAAAGCAGGCATAATCATGGACTGCACACAGTCCTCAAAAGCAGTGACCTGGTCCTCCAGCATTCTATTCCAACATTATCACCTTCAGCCACACATCGCATCTGAAACTGTAAATTCTATATCCCAGGGGAACTCATGGAGAGGAACCCCAGCCCAAGCCATCTGCTTGAACCCATGTGACACTCTCCTCCCTCTCAATGTTTCAGATCAGTAAGATGGAAGATTCTGAAACAAGCCTGGGTGTTTGGGCTGACACCATGCAAGGTGTTCTTCCCTTTGTTGCCTCTTGTCTTTCTTCCTCCTTCTCAGATCCTGAGATCAGCATCATCATCATCATTACTGCCTGAAACTTCATGTCCTGTGGTGTCTTTCACATTGGCACTCACATTCCTGCTTACCCAAAACTCTCCTTACTCTAGAAAGCTGGCCAACATAAGAGTCGGTGTGACCATACTAACATAAGGAATGGCTCAAGTTGGCAGGTGGCATGTTAGGCATTGTCTCAAATACTTTGACACAGGCACATCATGTCCACACAGCTTCTGTCCACCAGGTAATTGTTGAGTACCTGGTGGACAGGTACCAGTGGGAATTTTCAGGTCTCCAAAGTCCATGGCATCAGCTGTAACTAGGAGCTGGGGATGGCAGATGAAAACAGGGCAGGTGGCTGACACCTGGTACTTAGAAAAAAGGCAAGCATTTTCTTATAATTTGTACACTTGGCAAAATAACAATAGGAAGAAATTACTCACTGCATGATGAAGAGGATTCATGAAAACACAATAGCAAATGTAATTCTAGAGTGAAATGTAGTGGTAGATATGCTATGGTTCTTAGTCATTTCTTGTCTTCACCTTGGGAGGACCATGCTCCTTTGCCACATTGGTACCAAGCCATCCTGGCACCATGGTTTGGTTGTCTGACTTGCTTTTTCCATGAATATGAGGGGAAAGGATGT